TACATATCCAACAGAGATGTGTTCCTTTACTTTCCCATTTAATTCGAACACGTCTAAGCGTGTCGGATAATTGGGCAGCACATTTTGTATCAAAATTTTCTCTTATTTATTGTTGCTCTGTAAAATCCCAAACACATTTCTCCTACATTGTTTATGAAATTTTAAAAAATTAAATAATGTAAAATCATAAAATAAACTAAATATATAAAAAATTAAAATAATAGTTACTTTTATACTTGAAATAAACTAAACCAATCTTTCTTCTCTAAAAAAAATCTATATTTTTTAATAGATATGTTTAATACATTATTAATGTTTTCTAAATAAAATAACTTACAAATTATATACTTTTATGATAAATTCATATTTTTAATAAATATATTACCAAAATATATAACATACTTTATAAATAATATATATATATATATATATATATATATATATATATATATATATATATATATATATATATATATATATATATATATATATATATATATATATATATATATATATATATATATATATATATATATATATATATATATATATATATATATATATATATATATATATATATATATATATATATATATATATATATATATATATATATATATATATATATATATATATATATATATATATATATATATATATATATATATATATATATATATATATATATATATATATATATATATATATATATATATATATATATATATATATATATATATATATATATATATATATATATATATATATATATATATATATATATATATATAATCTATTATTTTATAAAAGTATATGCAATAAACAACAAGATTATATATTATGTTTCTACAAATATACATAACATATTTTAACTTTCAAATTATAAACTTATATGTTACTACAAATATTATATAATATGTTATTAAATTATAAAATATTTTTACAAATTTACAAATTATAACATATTTTTACAAATGCTTCACAACAATATTATATATATATATATATATATATATATATATATATATATATATATATATATATATATATATATATATATATATATATATATATATATATATATATATATATATATATATATATATATATATATATATATATATATATATATATATATATATATATATATATATATATATGTTTCTACAAATTTAAATACTTTATATTATATAATATATTACTAAATTATAATATATTTTTTCAAATTTACAAATTATAACATATTTTTACAAATTTACATGCTTTACAACAATATTATATATTATGTTTTTACAAATTTAAGTACTTTATATTATATAATATATTACTAAATTATAATATATTTTTACAAATTTACAAATAATAACATACTTTTACAAATTTACATATTTTACAACAATATTATGTTTCTTATAAATATATTACTAAATTGTATTAATATTTTAAAAAATATATACTTTCTAAATAAAAATGTATAATTTCTAAATAAAAAATGTATATATTACAAATTATATACTTTATATAAAAAGTGTATATGTTACTTAAATATAAAATATTTTCAAATTTAATTTTATAAATACTCTTATATAAAAATATTTATTATATATATACAATCAGCTTTTTAAAAATTTAATATATATTCTGTTTTTTAAACAATATTTTTTTATACAACACTATTTTCAATAACTATTTTTTAAAATCTGTTCTATAAATATATATAGATTAAAACAGATTCAAACATATTTAAACTGGTTTTTAATATATATATTCTATTTTCAATAACTATTTTTTAAACAGATTTAAACAATATATATATATATATATATATATATATATATATATATATATATATATATATATATATATATATATATATATATATATATATATATATATATATATATATATATATATATATATATATATATATATATATATATATATATATATATATATATATATATATATTTTAATAAATCTGTTTTATAAAATCTGTTTTATAAATATTTTTATAACTCTGTTTTATAATTTGTATTACAAATCTATTTTTAAAATATGTTTTATAATATAAACTAAATATAATATAATCATTTTAATCTGTTTTATAAATATTTTAATAAATCTTTTTTATAAAATATATTTTATAAATATTTTAATAAATCTGTTTTATAATTTGTATTAGAAATCTATTTTTAAAATTTGTTTTTAAAATCTGTTTTATAATATAAACTAATTATAATATAATTAATTTTATAATATAATCTGTTTTTATAATCTGTTTATTTATTAATACCTACTAAATAATATAAACAATATATATATATATATATATATATATATATATATATATATATATATATATATATATATATATATATATATATATATATATATATATATATATATATATATATATATATATATATATATATATATATATATATATATATATATATATATATATATATATATATATATATATATATATATAAACAAAACATATTTATACTGTTTTTTACAATTTTTTCTAACAAATATTATAAAACTATTATAATTATAAATCTGAAAAATATAAGAAATAAAAAAAATATTTTCAAAAATAATTTACTAAAAATATATATAGAAGTTTTGAAATAAAAAATAATATATATTTTACTATACCACCATCAAACCAAAATCAACATATATTAATATCAATTACATCTAAAGTCTTGATAAAAAATAAATATGTACCTTTTGATACTCCCTTAAATTTGTAGCTCCTTTTAGGTAAAACTTTAGAGCTTTATTATCAATAATATACATACAACAAAACAAATATATAAAAAAATTAATTAATAAATTTATGAAATAAAATTAATTACAAAATACAAAAATAATATAAAATAACTTAAATATTTATCTAATATCAGCACAGGATTATGTTCTTCGGTATATCAAAAATAAAAATTTGATGGTATAGAATGAGAAGAAAAATGGTGAAAGGTAAAAAAATAAAAAGAAGAAAGGGTGAGAGAAGATAAAGGAGAAGAAGAAAGGGTGAGAGAAGAAGAAAGGGTGGAAGGTAAACTCATATTATTATATCAGTGGGAATTTCAAGTGTTATTTAATGCGTGCATTTGCGAGGGGGTGTCTCACGCCATCACAACGGTCACATTGACGTGTCAAATGACTGACTGCATGTGTGGCCCGTGGACACACATTGCGATAGGGTGCTCCACGCAGGCTAGAAAAATTGATTTTGCGAGGGGCTACCCCTAGCCAGCTTTAACGTGTTGCAGACTCTTTACTGTCATGTGACAGCAGAATAAATGCTTTTGCAGGTGGATTTGACTAAAGTATGTCAACTGGTGACGGGGTGCCCCTTGCAAATTGCACAACATATATTGGTGAGGGGTTGACCCCTCGCAAATTGCCTCAATTCCCACCCATTTTCTGCGCTGACCCCTAGTAAAACCTTGTTTCAAATTTCAAAATATTTTTTCTCCTTGTTTGTGATGGGTATCTCCTAGGAAGTGTTTTTTTTTCTTTCTATTTTGTGGTTTGCGGGGGGTTTAACCCCAAGCAACATGATTTTTTTTAGTGAGGAGTTTTTCCCCTAGCCCATGCCCCTAGCTAATATCATGTTTTCTTGTAGTGGGCATAATGCAATTTTGTAGAAACAAACATATATAAACTCTTAGGTGAGGTCAAGTTCCACTTCAATGCTCTAAGTAAAATATAAAGAGATCAAACATATAATTAAGGAAGTGAAGTGACAAGTGAATTCACATGTGTCGATCTCATAAGGAAAATACATATATGCCTTAACAAGTTTGACGTTTAGTGGACTATGGACTAGCATGGGCCAATCTGATAAAGAACAAATTTATACGCCTTAATAAAACTGATGTTATGTAGATTGTGTACTGACATTTGCCAATTCGTTGAAGAATAAATATTTAGACCTTAGCAAGCTTGACGCATCGAAGAACATGCCACATGAGCTCAATTACACTTCGACTATACCAGACATGTCTACCATTTCTCTACCCTTCATCGTGCTTAGTTACGTTTGTTTATTCAACATGTCTAGGTCAACTTGATCATTTATACTAAGTTGTTCGTCAAAGTTATGCATCATGTTAGTACAAATTTCAAATTTAAAATGATAAATTTAGTGTAAAATTTTAACTTTCACAATCTTAACTGCCCGATTAATACAGTATAACTGCCCAACTAATACTAGTACACTTACAGGACAGACCCATACACTAAAAGAGACCTAAGAAGTGTAATTTGTACTACTAGTATACACCAACAAATCCAACGCACTTCGTCTCCGAAACAAATATAAACAAACAAACAATTAGATAAATCCAACTTTGCTTCACATTTTGCACCTCTTCTTAATGGCTTCTCCTTACGTTTCCTTCACGTCTCTCCCTTTGTAGGACCACCCTACACTTTACTACCTCTCCTACTATATTACCATATAATAACACATCTTAACCTTGTTTACCTAACACTTTAACTCCCAAATAAACACTATAATAGCAACTTCACTTTGCCAGAATGAAACACACCATCTGACTCACACCTAATTATAACCTCATCTAACTAAACTGTCACCAAAAAAACTTCATGTGGTAAATAAAAGAGCCCTCAAATTATAGTTCATTTTAGTAGTTAAATTACCGTTCAACCTAAGTCAATGTAATATTTCATATTTCATAACTTTGTTCAAACGTGGCTGCTTTTCTGGTAAAGTAAAACGTGTCGGTGTCGTCTATAAGAAAATTAAAAACAATGAGTGCATGAATAAAAAAACATATTGTAGTGTAGTGTAGGTTCAAAAGATAAGAGTAAGTTGTTTCACACCACACCTCAAATAGCAACACTCTCCTTTCACTTTTCTTTATCATAAACTTTTACACTTGTTTACTAAGCAATTATTATATACTCCATTTTCATTTTAAGAAAACCTTCATTCTCTCATTGTGCTCACAAGGTTAACAAAAATGGGGACATCTCAAACAACAACATTAATAAACACGGTATGTTGTTTCATGATTGTGTTGTTTGTGTTGTTTTCTGTCACTGTTACTGTTGCGGTTGGTGATTTAACAGATCAGAGAAAACTTAAGGTTAAATCTAAAGATGAAGTGAAGTGCACTCCGTGTGGTGAAGTATCGTCGCCGCCGCCGCCTTCTCCTCCCCCGCCATCTCCGCCTCCAGCTTCCACGAGTAATTGTCCTCCGCCTCCTTCTCCTCCGAGCTCCGGCGGCGGCGGCGGTGGTGGTGGTTCAACTTATTACTCTCCACCTCCGCCGTCTGCTTATTACTACTCATCTCCGCCCCCGCCGGCGACATCCACCGGAGGAGGTGGAACGGGTGGTATGTATTATTATCCTCCGCCAAATGGTGGGACTGGGAATGGAAACTATCCTACTCCGCCGCCTCCGAATCCAATTGTGCCGTACTTTCCTTTCTACTACCACACTCCTCCACCTTCCGCGGCGGCGCCTCCGCTGTTTAAGAGATCCGTAATGCTCTGCGCCGTGCCGCTTTTACCTATTTTTCTGGCGTTGTTTTGATAGAAAGATGAAAAAAAGAGAAACGAAAATTGAGGTAAGCAAAATAAGTACATGGAATTTTGTAGATCTCGAAGATTAGAAAGAAAAGTAAAAAAGTGAGATCGATGAAAATGGAAAGTGTACTTATTTTTTGCTGTCTCTTTAATTCTGATGTAATGTAGGTTCATCGATCTGCAATTTGTTGCCGATTTGTAATTGTATCTAGCTATTTTATTTTGTTAAGTATGAACAAATATTATTTAAAGAATAAATTAAGCATTATTCATTTCCATTTATATTGTGTTTATTAGAGATTATTATTAATTAAGTGAGCTATGATAATTTAGAGTTTAGATGATTAATAAGTAAACTTTATCAAATTTATGTTGTTAGTAATCAAATTCCAATATTCTCTTTTAGTTTCTGGATTTGAATTCAGTTCTAAACATGCCATCCATTGTGGTTTTTTTTATATTCAATTTTTATTTAAAAAAAAAATTAAAATGGTCTATAGTAATTCAAATTCAAGTAAAGTTTATTAGTTTGATTGAAATTATTGTTTGGATGTGGTTGATGAAGATTTTAGTAGTGTTAACAGCTGGAAAATGAGAGGGATTACGGGGCATTGGAGGTAATTGAAATGAGTGGTGTCCACTAAATTTATCTTCATCTGATTCAAATTGTTTGTTGTTGGGGAGGGTCCTTGTTTATTGATTCTTGGCAGCTTTTATTTTTGGGTACTAGTTATAATTTTAGTATAGGAAAAATTACACTCTACTCTTTTATGTTAGACCTAAATATCAAGTATTTTAAGTTTTTTTTTTTCCTTATTCATTGTCTGCTTGTTTCTATCTGTTTTATTATCGTTTTCCTCCAACTAGCTCACTCAATATAGGAGCGTTTCACTAACGGGTTTCTTCAAATTAATAAAATACGAACATTGAAAATGAAACATTGATAGTAAACTCTCAATTTAATTTTGTAAATATCATCTTATTTTTGTTTAATTTTGTAAATAAATAAAAAGTTTTGGTTTTCAAGTACGAGCCGTTGATTCTTTTTATAGAGTCCAATAAAAAACAACGATGATGTTTGCTCCACAACGATCTCATGAATTTTCACGATCAAATCCTTTTGATTTGAAAGTGACAAATCTCCACAACGATCTTGCTAAAAAACAATGATGATGTTTGCTCCATTTGCAGAAATTGCTAAGTATAACAAGTGTGAATAGTATATGTAATTGTTTCATATTAGTTAAAAATGTGAAGACTTGAGCATTTATAATTAGGATAACTCATACACCTATCACCTTAAAATTTTGGATGAGTATGTGGTGTGTCTCTTACAAAGGTGTTGCTCTAGAAAGAAAAGAAGTTCCACAATGTTCAATGCTCCCTAGTGAAAAAATCTCCCCTAACAGAAATCACTATACACCATTGTAACACCCCAATTCTTGATTTATCGAATTATTTAAATTATTATTATTTAATTTAATTATTATGTGTGATAATTGAATTAGTATGGGGTCACGAGTGTGTGACCTTGATGTAAAAGTGTAGAGAGTGATAACAGATTAGTCGAGGTGGGTGTTATACTTGGATTTTTCAGGTAGTAGAAAGTCAATAAAAAAATATCAATGAAAAGACATCCACAGTGAGAAAGCATTAATGAAGTGTATTAAAAAGAATTTATGATGAGGCGTCGGCAGACTAGCAATGAGGGATCGACCAATCCATCGACACAATGAGATATAGTTTGGAGGACTCTTAGGGATAAATCCCCAAGGCCCGGATCAGTGGGAAAACTGTCCAAAGTCTCAAAAAGGACACTTAATAGAAGCCTTCATCCCATCAAAAGGACCAGTCGACTAAACCACGTGAGATGAAAGATTTAGTAAATTTGCAAGTCTTGAGTCCTTGATAGACATCGTCGACACTACGTTGGAGCAGTTACCATCAAGGGTTCTTGAAGAAGTGGAAAACAGTTACAACTCAACATAGGTTTTGAAGAGAGAGTCTTGGGCGACACGTAAGCACACTAGTGAAAATTTGAAGATTGAACGTGCAGCAAATGCAATAGTCCCTTAGTGGTTATAACTCTCATCGACATTTACTTTGTAAATAGAATACATAGCAGACTCATACATGAGATTAAGGGTCGCAAAATTTCATACATACTCTCCATACCACTAGAGTACCCGAGTCAAATAGCGAAACAGTTGAGCGAGAAACATGTATGCGTCTGCATCCAGTCTTTTTTATTAGTCTTTTTGCTTCCTTAAATGAAACATGTACTTTTACTTTTTCTTTATTTAATGTCTTTTATTTCATTTTACCTTATCATTTATCACAACCTGACTTCATTTAAAGTCTTTTTCTACGTCGTTATCTTTCACGCGACGACTGCACTCAATTCACACGCACGTGTGTTCACATAACTTATTGGCACAAATTTCTTGAAGATTTTTCGAGTTAATCTCACAAAATTTCAAACTCGTTATTATTTACCAAAAACACCGGTAAACAAATTGGCATGCCCAATGGGACCATTTTGTGCGAATATCTTTATAGATAAGAGGTGTCTTACGTTATTTGTTTTTTAGTGTCTTCCATTTTGTGAGGTTTTATGTTGTATGCACCTGAGGAATGATAAGCGACTTTCCAAAATGTCTCGTAAAAACATACCCCTTCCCAAAGTAATACTCCAAACCCAGGAGAACAACCGAGGTTACTAGTGTCGGCAATTCTGTAGCTCCAACCTCTGTCGAGGAAATGCCCACTACCATAAGCGTCAACTACATCAACCTTTTCTAGGGAATTACAGAAACTATGAGACCAGAGGCCTCCTCATTTAGGTTTCTTGTTACTTCAAAAGGAACAATTGTATGGTATGTGTAATTATGACAAGCACACGATGGATGTTATCACGGATGTTATGACATCCACTGTAACACAGACTACTGCACTTAATAATAACTTGTAAATGCAAAGCAGTAAATAACACAAGTAATTGTTCACCCAGTTCAGTGTCAACCACACTTACATCTGGGGGCTACCAAGCCAGGGAGAAAATTCACTATTAGTAGAATTAATTCAAAGTCAAACAATCCCAGGTTGCACTCTTCACTTAAGACCTACCCAATGACACTTCACCCTAGAGACCACTAGACCTGAGTTTCCCACTTACTCCCTCTCAATCACCTTAGTGATATCAATACAGAATTACAAAAGAGATATGAAGACTCACTTCAAACACACCTTGATCTTGCTTCACAACTTTGATCAAGTGACACACACTCTTGCTTAACAACTTTGAGTGACACAATGAACACACCTGTTCATACACAATAACCAAAGCAATTATACAACATATAATTGCTTGGCACACAAGGAAAAGATTCCTAAACACACGTGAAGAGAAAACCTCTTCACTCACAAAATACACTCTCCAATCTCTGCTTGAAGCTCTCTCTTCAAGCTCTGCCCTATTAGGAATGATCCTTGTGTTATTTATAGCAGCAGATTTGCTTTGGGCCTTGATGGAGAATTTAGGTTTACCCAAACCTCTCTTCATGAAGCTGCGCCCTTATCACTAGGTAAGGTTTATTCCAAGTTATCATTATCAATTCCTGGCATGTCGCCTAAGATAACTAGGCTTCTTGGAATATTTCCTGAAGTATAGCCTGAGCTAATAACAGAAAAACTAACCCTGCGCGCCCTGATGTCATACGCTTGATGTCATAACATACAGCATGACATTCAACTTCACTTACTCTTAGCTCTTCCTGCAGAACACCCTTCATGTAAGTCATAACATCAGTTATGACATTCACACATACACTAATGTTTTGCCATAAAATACAGCCAATCAAAAACATCTACAAACTCCCCCTTTGGCAATTTTTTGGCTAAAACACCCTGTTAACATATCAGAGTTTATAAGCATCAGAAGTCTAACATATAACCTATCATCCAGGAAAGCTACTAGCTACACACTATCAGTGTTGTCTACACACACTCACACTGTTAGCTCTCAGGATCAACCTATTCACAATCAATCATCTGTTAGTCACTACTACATATGTCACACTGTTTTGAGTAACATTCTGGGTTACTCCCCCTCAACTGATGCATACTACATCAGCTAGGCATAACCTGCACAGCTTGCAGTCACACATAAACCATCCGAATTTTTCTGGATGTTATGACATTCAGGATGACATCCTGAGTCACATCACTTCCACAGCATTACACTCTATCACCTGTTAGCCTAGACTACATATGTTACACTCTCTGTGGACCATCCTGTGCTACTCCCCCTGAAGAGATGCACAACACATTTTGCAATCAACCTGCATAAGCACACACTCCTAAGCAGCAACTAGAAGCATATACATTCCTACACAACCTAGGAATTCACACATGCACATTTGCAACAGCACCTGTAACACACCTGCAGTAGTAATAGACACAAGTCTACACACAAGTCTTCCACCTGCATCATCTCTAACCTGCTGTTATCTAACACTTTCTCCCCCTTTTAAGCTACAAATTAAGATCAAACTAATAAAATAGTATAGATCATAATGTGGAACATTACATATGTTTGGGGTCATTACAAAAATTGCTCATGAAGAGCATCACAAAATATCATGATAAAACAGAACAATTCTAACTTAAGAACCAACCAAGCACATCAGCAGCACATCATCCTCAGTTCAGCAACCAGCAGCCTGAGCTCCACACTAGTCTAGCAAGACATCAATCTTCCTCCTCAGAGGCAGAACTGGAACCAATGTCATTAGCACCGGTTGAGACATTCTTATCAGAATCTTCACCTGACATACCCATACCATCAATATCAGCTGTATTTCTTTCAAGGCTTTGAATAAACGATTCTAGCTTGACCTTTCTTGCAGTTGTTGTACTAATGGTTTCTCCTAATTCCCTACATGTTTTCTTTAATTCAGCAATTATCATTTCTTTAAAGATGTTTGCCTTCTCATCAGAAGTGAAAAC